TAGAAATATTATTAGTATTTGTATGAATAGTACTCAAAGTATAGAAGTAGGAACCGTAAAAGTAAAGAAAATAGTAGTCGTAGTAATGAAATTAGTCGCAAAAAAACAGTATCAGTACTAGTCGCAGTACGGGTAGTACTAGTAGTAGTAGTAGTAGTAGTAGTGGTAGTAGTAGTAGTAGTAGTAGTAGAAATAGTAGTAGTAGTAGTAATAATAATAAGTGGAGGTGTAAAAATAAACGAAATAGTCGCAGGATCAGTCGCAGAAGTCGTAGTCGTAGTCGTAGTAGTACGAGTAACACGAATACGACTGGCAATACTACTTCTAGTAGGAAGTTGTGGCGGTAGTCGTTATAAACCAGTCACAATAGTCGTCGTAGCAATAGCAGTAGTAGTCGTGCAAGTGGTGGTTCCAATGGTTGTGGTAGTGGTAGTCGTAGAATTGCCGTAGTGGTAGCACTAGCAGCAGTAGGGTAGCAGCAGTAGAAGTAGTAGCAGTAGTAGTTCTAGTAGTAATAGTCGTCGTCGTCGTAGTAGTAGTAGTAGTAGTAGAAGTAGTTATAGTAGCCGTAGTAGTAGTAGTAGTATTAGAAGTAGTAGTAGTAGTAGTAGTAGTAGTAGTAGTAGTCGTAGAAGTAGTAGTAGTAGTAGTAGTAGTAGTAGTAGTAGTAGTAGTAGTAGTAGTAGTAGTGGTGCTAGTAGGAATAGTAGTAGTAGTAGTCGTAGAAGCAGTAAGAGTAGTAGTAGTAGTAGTAGTAGTAGTAGTAGTAGTAGTAGTAATAGTGGTGGTGGTAGTAGTAGTAGTCGCAGTAGCAATAGCAGTGGTAGTAGTCGTCGTAGTAGTAGTAGTAGTAGTAGTAGTAGTAGTAGTAGTAGTAGTCGTAGTAACCGTAGTCGTAGCAGTAGTACTAGAAGTAGTAGTAGTAGTAGTAGTAGGTGGTGGTAGTAGTAGTGGTAGTAGTAGTAGTAGTAGTAGTAGTAGTAGTGGTAGTAGTAGTAGTAGTAGTAGTAGTAGCAGTAGTAGTCCTAGTAGCAGTAGTCGTAGTAGAAGTCGAATTAGTGGTGGTAGTAGTAGTAGTAGCAGTAGTAGTAGCAGTAGTCGTAGTACTAGTACTAGTACTAGTAGTAGTAGTAGTAGTAGTAGTAGTAGTAGTAGTTGTTGTTGTCGTAGTAGTAGTAGCAGCAGTAGTAGTAGTAGTAGTAGTAGTACGAGAATTAGTACTAGTACTGGCAGTAGTAGTAGTAGCAGTAGTAGTAGTGGTAGTAGCAGTAGTAGTAGTAGTAGTAGTAGTAGTAGTAGTAGCTGTTGCCGTAGTAGTAGTAGCCGTCGTCTTCGTAGTCGTAAACGTCGTAGTAGTATTCATCGCAACCGTGTAGTAGTAGAAATAATAATCGTAACCGAAGTCGCAGCAGTAGTAGTAATAGTAGTAGTAGTAGTAGTAGTAGTAGTAGTAGTAGTAGTAGTAGTAGTATTAGTAGTAGTAGTAGTAGTAGTAGTAGTAGCAGTAGTTGTACTACTACTCGTCGTAAAACTAGTTGTGGTGGTGGTGGGGCCGGCAGTGGTAATATGAAGAGTACCAAGGGGTATTATTGTTGTTGGTGATGTAATGGTAGGAGTGGCCGCAACGGTAATAGCATAAGTACCAGTCGCAGTAAGTAGTAGTAGTAGTAGTAGTAGTAGTAGTAGTAGTAGTAGTAGTAGTAGTAGTAGTGGTGGTGGTGGTGGTGGTGGTAGTAGTAGTAGTCCTAGTCGCAGTAGTCGTAGTAGTAGGGGTGGTGGTGGTACTAGTGGTATTCGTAATAGTAGTAGTCTGAATCGTACTAGTAATCCAATTCGTTTTGGTATCATTATATTTCTTGTGGTGGCAATGGGGGTAGTAGTAGTAGTAGTAGTAGTAGTAGTAGTAGTAGTAGTAGAAGTAAAAGTAGGAAAAGTAATATCAGCAATTGTAATGGTAGGAGTAATAATTGTAGTCGTAGTAGTAGTAAGAATATTGAGAGTGATCGCCGTCGTAATGCTCGTAGTAGTCGTAGTGGTGGTCGTCGTAACCCGAGTGGAAGTAGTTGTAGTAACAGCGGTGGTGGTAGTAGAGGATTTCGTGATATTCGGAATAATTACAGTAGAAGGTGTAGTTGTTTGTGGGAGTAAGTGTACCAGTAGTGCTACCTATCAGTAGGAGTATTACTGTCAGGGTTAGCAGTAAACGTGGCAATACCAATAGTAGTAGTAGTTGTAGTAGTAGTAGTAGTAGTCGTAGTAGTGGTAGTAGTAGTAGTAGTAGTGGTGGTGGTGGTGGTAACAGTAGCGCTACCACCACTAGTAGTAGTAGTAATAGTAGTAGTAGTAGTAGTAGTAGTAATCGTAGGAGTAGTAGCAGCAGTATTCGTAGTAGTAGCTGTTGTCGTAGTAGTAGTGATCGCGCTGTCGTATTCGTATTAGTATTAGAAGTAATAGAAGTAGTAAAACAAAAAAACCAACCGTAGTTGCAATGGTAACAGTAGTAGACGCCATAATACCAATGGTAGTGGTAGTAGTAGCAGTAGTAAGAGTTGTAGTAGTAGTAGTAGTCGTAGTAGTAGTAGTAGTGGTAGTAGTAATAGAAATAATAGTAGGAGGATCCATAGTCGTAATTAGTAGGAGTAGTCGCAGTAGTAGTAGTAGTAGTAGTAGTAGTAGTAGTAGTAGTAGTCGTACTAGTAGTAGTAGTAGTAATAGTGGTAGGAGTAGTAGTACCAGTATTCGTAATAGTAGCTGTTGCCGTAGTAGTACTCATCGCGCAGTAGTGTTAGTAGTAGTAGTAGTAGTAGTAGTAGTAGTAGTGGTAGTAGTGGTAGTAGTAGTAGTAGTAGTCGTAGTAGTCGTCGTCGCAGTAATAGCAATAATAAAGTAATCGCAGTGGGAATAATAACAGTAGCAGCCGATATCGTAGCAATGGTGGTAGTAGTAGTAGTAGTAGTGGTAGTAGTAGTAGTAGTAGTAGTAGTAGTAGTAGTAGTAGTAGTCGTAGTAATAGTAGTAAGGTTAGTAGTAGTAGTGGTAGTAGTATTATACGCAGTGTTAGTAGTAGTAGTCGTAGTCGTAGTCGTAGTAGTAGTAGTAGTAGTAGTAGTAGTAGTAGTAGTAATAGAAGTAGTAGTAGTAGTAGTAGTAGTAGTAGTACTAGTAGTAGTAGTAGTAGTAGTAGTAGTAGTAGTCGTCGTGGTAGTATTGTTTTAGTAGTAGTGGGAGTATTCATAGTCGTAGTTAGGAGTATTCGCAATAGTAGTAGTAGTAGTAGTAGTAGTAGTAGTAGTAGTCGTAGTCGTAGTAGTAGTACTATCACTAGTATTTGCACTGGCATTTGTAGTATGGTTATTATCATTGTTATTTTTAGTACGAGTGACGGTGGTCATGCTAATATTAACTGTAGCCGCAGTAGTAGTAGTAGTAGTAGTAGTAGTAGTAGTAGTAGTAGTAGTAGTCGTAGCAGTAGTAGTAGTAGTAGTAGCAGTAGTAGTAGTCGGAGGAGGAATGGTAATCTGAAAGAGTAGATATGGGTAATACAGAACATCCTCCTCTTCCTCGTCCTCCTCCTCCCACCCCGCGTTCCCGTCATGTCCGTCCTCCTCCTAAGCTCCTCAGAAGCTCCTCAGCTGCTCCGCAGGAGCTCCTCGGAAGCTCCTCAAAAGCTACTCGGACGCTCCCGAGAAGCTCCTCACGAGCTCCTCAGAAGCTCCTCAAAAACGCCTCAGATGCGCTTCAGAGGCGATTCAGAGGCGCTTCAGATGCGCTTCAGAGGCGCTTCAGAAGCACTTCAGAGGCGCTTCAGAAACGCTTCAGAAGCTCATGAGAAGCGATCCAGAAGTTGTGCAGAGGTTGTAATGCGGCTGTAATCCGGTGTCCGTCTTGTAGAATTAGAATCGGAATCCTTCACGCTGCGATCGGCCCCTGTCTGGTGGTTGGAATCAGCCGCAAGCAGTTCGTAAACCCGCCCAACATGCCCTCCCGAGACTGCCAGCAAGACCCCGAGATGTACAGGGACCGAAAAGGTCACTCAAAAGCCATCTAGCGGCTTTTTAGAAGCCAGCTCGATGCCCAACATGTCTCCCACATGCCTCTGCTCCACTGCCCGGGCACGATGGCGAGCGTGATCGAAGCCATCTTTACAGGATGCTCCTGAAGACATGGACCTCGTGGAAGCGACCTCACACTCCTTGTCGTACACATTCTGCCCGCTGTAGCTATACCTCTTTATGCGCGCATCTGGCCCGATTTCGGACAAGTGCAGCTTCGCTTAGGTGCACACTGGGGCCACTTTGCGACCCCCTCGGGCCTGAACACCGCGGTGCAGACACCCTCGCCGAGACAAGCGGCACCGACCGCATATTGACTGCCTACCAGACCACCCCAACCCGACCCGACGACCCAAATTTCGGTTTGTGGGAAGGGAGGTTACGGGTTCCAGATGTGTTTTTTTGCCGAACGCTTCCCGACGCCCCCCACTGAAACTGGAGGGCCAATTGGGGCCTTCGGGTTGGGCTGGGGTGGTGTGGTGTGTGGGCAAATCGGCTCCCCGGCCATCCTGATGTGACCACCAGGCCCCCAGGATAGGGGGAGAAGAGGAGGCCGACGGGGGGCAGGGGGGGGCGTACCACAATGGGGCGGTGGCGCCATGCGGGCGCTGCCATCTGGGCCTTCGGTTGAGCTCCCGACGGGGTCACGACATGTGTGAGAGGTGTGTTAAAATGGGACGGTGGCGCCAGCGGGCGCTGCCACGTGGGCCGTCGGTGGTGCCCCGTGTGGGGCCGCGAAGCGCGTGATGGGGGGAGGCGGGGTCGTCGCCGAACGAGGGCTTGGGGTGCAACCCGTGCCCCACGACTTCACAGTGCTCGCAGAGCAGGAGGAAGGCGTGCGGCGAGCGGAGGCGGAGCAATTGCGGCGACTGCGACCGCGGCCGCGGCGGCGGCGGGCGGCGGCGGCGACCGCGAGCGCGGCCGGCGGCGGCTCCGCGGGCCGGCGGCCTCGGCCTCGGAGCCGGGCCCGCGGTCCCAGGGTCGCTTCACGCCCTGGGCTCCGCCGCGGGGCCGAGGGGCGGAAGATCGTGGTCGGCGAGCGGCGGGGCACATAGGAGGAGGAGAAGGAGGAGGAGGAGGAGGAGGAGGAGGAGGAGGAGGCGGAGGAGGAGGAGGAGGAGGCTGCTGGTGCTGCTGCTGTGCGCCCCCCCCCCCCGTGGGGGTGCTGCTGGACGGTGCGCCTGGCCCAAGGTGCCCCGAGGATTTCCAAGAAGGGCCCGGCGGCCTCCAGGGGAACCCCTCACGAGGTCTACAGGGCCCCGGGGGCTCCAAAATTGGGGGAATAGCTGGGGGCACCTTGTGCCAGGGGCGAGATCATGATCGGCGAGCAGTGGGGTGCCAAAGGACATGCTTTGGGGGCAACTACCGAGAGGTCTCCGTCGGAAGGACCAGGGAGGACCGAGCCCCTGTGGGGGGGCTGTTGCGCCTGATTTGGCCGCGGATTGAGCGGGGTTATGCCAAGTCAAATGGGATGACACGCCGGTCGAAAGAAGTGGCTAGAAACATGAAGTAGGACGGCGTTGGAAGTAGATTCGGCTTCAGCCCGCCGTAGGAAGGCGCCTGAAATAGATTGGGATCTGGAAATTCAGGAACACCTGGATTAAGCCGGATTTGGTTTCAGGGCAAAGTCAGAATTTGACCTCCGAGGGATTGCAGCCGAACGCATTGGTGCTATGCGCCCCCCTGGTGAGGCGCACGTCCGAGCCGAACATGCAGCACAGACATCTTTGCGCATCGGATGGGACGCACAGAGACATAGTAATACTACGTTTCCTCCTTGGAGGCGCGCCTCCGACCCGGACAGATAGTGTACCGATCTTGTAGTAGATCGCTTCCCGAGCGGTGTGACCAGAAAGCACCCGCCACGACGCATATACTACAAGATTTCTCGGCACGCGCGTCGCACCTGGGGGGCGACGCACACATAGTATTAGCATGTTAGGGTGACGCCGATCGGAGGTTGGGGGGGGGGGGGGCAGATCGAAAAGAAACAGAGGCCCCCCTTTCCGGGAATTCGGTTTCGGTTTGGTGTGCGTGCCGTGCGTGCGGGCGAGGCGAGGCTGCGTGGGCGGGCGAGGTGAGTCATCCCTCCTCTGGCTAGGACACCACCTGGTCAAAAGACCGCCCCCCGTGGGTTGTGTGGCGGTGGCGGGGGGTGTCCCGCCGTGGTGTCCCGATGGTCCAGATGATGTCCCGTGGTGTCCCGATTGATCAGTAGTGAGATCGACAGTCAGACCGATACCGAGGTCGATAGCGAGACCGATAGTGAGATCGATGGTGAGGTCGATGAGATCGAGAGTGAGGTCGATAATGAGATCGATTGAGCGAGACGCGGGTTACCCCCAAACATCTCCATATGACCCGAAGGGTGGCCGTATAAGTATAAATATGTTCTGGCGATGCCGGTCCATATCCACATCCACGCCCTCGCTGTCTGGATTCTGGCGCGAGACCCCGTGGATGCACGGTCGCACGGGTACGTTCCGCGCGAGGCGATCGCGAAGGAGTGCCCCGCATCCTCGGGGAGCCGTGCCCAGCTCGCGAGGCTGCGGATACAGATGTCTTCGCTCGTTGGAAACGAGGTGGCAATAACGCCATTGCTACCGTGGCCTACGTGCCACCTGTTGGCGGCGAACGAGGGGGGGAACTTAGAAGGAACAGTCCTTCTCAGAAGGCGGCGGGCCTTCTCTAAGCACTCAACCTTCTGAGAAGTTTTTCCTAACCATCCTGTGGTGTTGGGTCCACGTTTTGAAGAGACAGCGCCCCGCGTCTCCTCTCCTCCTGCACCGACGGTCCCAGTGGCGCAGCCCGCATGCGTCTCCCACACCCAACACAGCGTTTCGTGGCCCCACTGGGAGGGAGCTCCACCGAAGGTCCCAGTGGCGCAGCCAGCATGCGTCTCCCAGACCCAGTGGAGCGCTTCGTGGCCCCATCAGAAGCTCCACCGAAGGTCCCAGTGGCGTAGCCCGCATGCGTCTCCTCCACACAGCACAACGTTTCGTGGCCCACAAGGAGCTCCACCAAAGGCCCCAGTGGCGCAGCCCGCATGTGTCTCCCACACCCAGTAATGCGTTTCGTGGCCCCAAAGGGAGCTCCACCGAAGGTTCCAGTGGCGCAGCTCGTATGCGTCTCCCAAACCAAGCACAACGTTGCGTGGCCCACAAGGAGCTCCACCGAAGGACCCATGAGCGCAGCTCGCATGCGTCTCCCAAACCCAGCACAACGTCTCGTGGCCCCACAAGGAGCTCCACCAAAGGTCCCAGTGCCGCAGTGAGCATGCGTCTCCCACACCTATTACAACGTTTCGTGGCCCCACACGGAGCTCCACCGAGGGTCCCAGTGGCGCAGCCCGCATGCGTCTCCCAGACCCAGTAATGCATTTCGTGGCCCCAAAGGGAGCTCCAGCGATGGTTCCAGCGGCGCAGCTCGTATGCGTCTCCCAAACCAAGCACAACGTTGCGTGGCCCCACAAGGAGCTCCACCGAAGGACCCATGAGCGCAGCTCGCATGCGTCTCCCAAACCCAGCACAACGTCGCGTGGCCCCACAAGGAGCTCCACCAAAGGTCCCAGTGCCGCAGTGAGCATGCGTCTCCCACACCTATTACAACGTTTCGTGGCCCCACACGGAGCTCCACCGAAGGCCCCAGTGGTGCAGCCCGCATGCGTCTCACAGACCCAGTACAACGTTTCGTGGCCCAAAAGGGAGCTCCACCGAAAGTTCCAGTGGCGTAGCCCGCATGCGCCTCCCGCACCCAGTACAGCGTTTTCGTGTTCCTATAGGGAGCTCCACCGAGGGTCCCAATGGCGCAGCCCGCATGCGTCTCCCCCACCCAGTACAGCGATTCGTGGCCCCACAAGGAGTTCCACCGGAGGTCCCAGTGGCGTAGCCCGCATGCGTCTTCACCCCCAGTACCGCGTTTCGTGGCACCAAAGGGAGGGAGCTCCACCGAAGGTCCCAGAGCGCAACCCGCATGTCTCTCCCTCTTCCGACGGTCCAAGGGGCGCAGCCGGCATGCGTCTCCCACACCCAGTACAGCGCTTCTTGGTCCTCCCGGGAGCTCCACCGAAGGTCCCAGTGGCGCAGTCCGCATGTGTCTCCCGCACCCAGTACAGCGATTCGTGGAACGCGTAGGGAGCTCCACCGACGATTCTAGGGGCGCAGTCAGTGTGTGTTTTCCCCGAATATAGTGCTTCGTGGCCCCATAGGGAGCTCCGCCTAAGGTCCCAGTGTCGCAGCCCGCATGCGTCTCTCCCGCCCGGTACAGCGTTTCGTAGCCCTCCAACTGCGGTATTCGCAACTGCATATGATTGGGTCCTTCGTCAGGCTAACTTGTTCCAACCGTCCTGTGGTGTTGGGTCCTCGTCTTTAAAGGACAGCGCCCCGCGCTTCTCCTCTCCTCTCCCTCTCTTCTCCTCTCCTCTCCTCTCCTCTCCTCTCCTCTCCTCTCCTCTCCTCATCCTCCCCCTCCTCCCGGCTCCCATCATCAGCATCAGCATCAGCATCAGCCTCAGCACAATCCTCAACCTCATCATCATCACCATCATCATCAGCCTCATCAACATCACCAACGTCATCACCAACGTCATCATCATCAGCAGCAGCATCATCAACATCAACATCACCACCACCACCAACACCATCACCATCAACATGGTCATCATCACCATCATCATCATCATCAGCATCATCATAATCATCATCATCAATATCATAACCATCATCATGATGATCATCATCATGAGCATCATCATCAACATCATCGTTCACGGCATCAGCATCAGCATCAGCAGCATCCTCAGCATCAGCATCAGTATCAATAGCAGCATACTCATCAGCACCAACATCAGCATCGCCATCAGCATCAGCATCAACATCAGCATCGCCATGATCATCATCACCATCATCCTCATCATCATCAACAGCAGCATCATCACCACCACCACCATCACCATCACCATCACCATCATCATCATCATCATCATCATCATCATCATCATCACCATAAGCATCATCAGCATCATCGTCATCATCATCAGCAGTATCATCATCAACATCATCAGCATCATCAGCATCATCATCATATGCATCATCATCATATGCATCAGCATCATCACCATCACCATCATCATCACCATCACCATCAGCATCATCATCATCATCATCACCAGCATCTTCATCATAATCAGCATCAGCATCAGCATCAGCATCAGCAGCAGCAGCAGCATCAGCATCATCATCATCATCATCATCATCATCATCATCATCATCATCATCATCATCATTATCATCATCACTATCCTCATCCGCATCACGTTTCGTCACCCCATAGGGAGCTCCACCGAAGGTCCCAGTGGCGGCGCAGCCCGCATGCGTCTCCCACACCCAGTACAGCGCTTCGTGGCCCCGTATGGAGCTCCACCGAAGGTCCCAGTGGCGCAGCCCGCATGCGTCTCACCCACCCAGTATAGCGCTTCGTGGTCCAATAGGGAGCTGCTTCCCCTCATGTCCCAGTGGAGCAGCCCGCATGCGTCTCCACCACCCAGTACAGCGTTTCGTGGCCCCACCTGGAGCTCCACCGAAGGTCCCAGTGGCGCAGCCCGCATGCGTCTCCCCCGCCCAGTACAGCGCTTCGTGGATCCATAGGGAGCTCCACAGACTGTCCCAGTGGCGCAGACCGCATGCGTCTCCCCCACCCAAAACAGCGTTTCCTGGCCCCACAGGGAGCCCCACCAACGGCCTCAGTGGCGCAGCCCGCATGCCTCCCCCACCAAGTAAAGCGCTTTGTGGCCCCATTGGGAGCTCCACCGACGGTCCCAGGGGCGTAGTCCACATGCGCCTCCCGCACCCAGTACAGCGTTTCGTGGCCCCCATAAGGAGCTCTACCGAAGGTCCCCGTTGCGCAGCCCCCGCGCGTCTCTCACGCCCAGTATAGCGTCTCTCACGCCCATAAGGAGCTCTACCCGAAGGTCCCAGTGGCGCAGCCCGCATGCGCCCCC